AGTATGTTTTTTTTTCCATTAAATAAATATTAAAGCTTTCTATTGTGAGAAAAAAAAAACGATTCATTTTTATAATAATTAATAAATTTCAAAAAATGAAATTTCCAAATCAATAAAGAAGAAATGGTGAATAAATTTTGTCTGACAACATTAATTGTTCATTTAAAATAGTATGAAACAAAAAGGTAATAATTGATATTATTTTTATTGGTATGAAAAAAGGATGTATTGGAGTGAAGTGAATTGAATACTATTCCTGATAAATGATTATTTAATGAAAATATGCAATTCATTAATTAGCTGAAGATTGACTGCCTTTTTTTTTCACAGTTGAAGAATAGAATAAAATTAGTAAAGATGGAGAAGTGTTACGATATTATACTGTTACACTCAGCTTTATTTTCCAATTACATTTTTTTTTCGTCCATGCTTCATAAAGATTGTTTTAGAAAAATGTTAATATTAATAATGTAAAGCAATTTTCAAACAGACAAACATTATAATTTTCATTTTATCAATTCTTCAATTTTTTAACATCAATTCGATTTTAAGTACTGAATTCCATGTTCATTGTTTTGTTTTATCTAAATAACCGATATTATAACATGCTAAAATGTGAATCTATTTAGCTTCTCAGCAACTTAAATCCGATTACTTCTTATGAACTAATAACATATTTCAATATTAGTGGATAATATTCAGTCGTAATTCTAAAATTTGAAAAATTTCAAAGAATTAGAAAAATTCCATATTTTTATCATAGTTTCTATCTTTTAATTGTTTCTAGTTACCATGTTTACTTGCTAGCTCCAATATATGTTATGTAAGAATAAAAAAATTTACTTTACAATTAATTTTGTTTACTGAAAACTTTGTTTATTTCAATCGCCAAAGCATACGAGAAAAGGAGCAGTTAATTAGTTATAATCAATCGAGATAAGAAATGCTAGATTTTTTTTAATCAGATTACATATGTTGAATGATTGACAAACAAAATAATGCTACATTAGCACGAATTGATGATTTAAAGAAGTAATAATGGAATTGATTAAATTATAAGATGAAATCATAAAGTTCTCTTTGTATGCTAGTAATTAATGAAGCCATGAAAGAACTAACTTGTCAAACAAAAAAAAAAAGATTCAATTCAATCGATATTACGATTAATGCAAATGGATGGATACAATAAACTTTTGTTTTATATCTGAAATCCATACTCGATTTTTAGCTATCATAAATGCAATATGCTAAAATCACGGTTCAATTTATTGGAAAGGAAAAAAAAAACTAAATTATCGACTTTTAGTTATGAAGCCATTTTAGGTTTATGCTTCATCGAAATTTGAATGGAAAATATATACTCAATTCTTCTTTTTTTTTATGTTAACGATACCAATCATATTTTCAATTTTTTTAAATTTTCATTTTTTTATCGTTTTATTTATCGTTTCTCATAAAATGATATTACTCTTACTTTTTTTATAAGAAGTAATAACATGCAACTGTGTGAACTTTACTTGGGTAACGAATGTAAACAAGGTGATCATACCTTTGGATTTGTACGTAAGTATTACTTTCATTCTTTGCTATATTCTTTGACAATTTTCAGTCTTTTTTTTTGATAATTTCATCGCAATAATAAAAATTTTAATTTTTAAAATGGCATAATTTTATTTAACAAATAATTCCTATAAAATTAAATGATTGAAAATAGATTTTGTTTTTGTTAGGAAGAATTTTAATTATCGCAATTTTCCAACCATTTAAATGTTGCAAATTTAATAATGCATTTACTGCTTATCAAGTCAATCCCCAATTTTTAAAATTATATTTTAAAAAAATGCCTGATATAATTTTTAATTGTCTGTTCCGCATCTTTCTCATAGTTTACACATTAACTCACAATGTTAATAATGTAAACGGTGAAGAAAATTGTCGAAATAGATTTGATGTATTAATAAGTAACGTTTGTAATATATCAACATAACATTATTCCAGCTGAATTAATCGGCTTTCCATTTTTTTAAAAATAATTTTTAAAGAAATTCTTGAGTCTTTTGAATATTTCAATTTTATGCTGTTTGCGGAAAATTTTTTGCACATGTAATATTTATAATCTGTTTGCTCAAAAAGAAATTGATAATCATCTGTAGACTAGCAAAAAAAAAACATTTAAAGTATATATATATTGAATAACAATTAAATAATCAATAACGAAATTGAGGTTAACAATCATCCAATTCCAATTCTCTTTCAACTCCATTGGTAAATTCATTTCTTTCCTACCTTTCCTACTGCAGTTATTATTTGGAAATAAGATTGAAGCTTATTTATATTAATTTTCAATGATATATTTTGCTAATAATATATTAAAATAATTAATTTATGTTAGAGAATATTCTATTTTATATTAAAATTTGAAGTTAATCTTTCTTATTCTTTTTTTTTCTCTCTCTCTCTCCTTTCTCATCATAATATCGAAGAAAGAGTTGAAAGTAGTATTTTGATTAATCAAACGGGCAATGACAATTGTTATCCGAAAAAGCTAATCGAATTGATAGCATTTTTATGCATGAAATATTTTGTTAAAAGTAACCGAATCTTACATCATATTTTCTTATTTTCAAATATCTTTGCAATATCATTTGAATTTTTGTAATATTATACAACAGAAGTAATAGTAATTGACAAATGTATTTTTTGCATTAATTCATGAATGATTATATACTATTACTAGCAGTGTAAAAATAACATTTTTTACTGTTGAATAAGCAATTTTTTTTTCCTCAGTGAAGAAAAAGAGAGATAGGAAAAATATTATTACTAGCTTAGGCTAAGAAAATTTCGATATATGTGATGAAAAAAGGGTAAAATTTGAAATTGATTCAAGAATAAAACTAAAAATAAGGTTTTCATTGACACAGCTTGACATTTTTAATAGAATAAAAGAAAAAGAATAGGAAAAATATCAAAAATGAGAAAAAGTAAAATCTCTTTCAATAATATTAATGTTAATCATTAGAGAAGTTTGTTTGTTTTTTTTTTTTTTTTNTGATACCTAATATTCATTCAATTCATGTCCATTTACTTTCAACCTTTCATTATAAATATTTTTGTTGTGCCATTTCGTTGAGCTGTTTTTCCATTCTTTTTTTTTTTTTGTTGGAAATTTATTTCAATATATCATTTACGCATAAATGGATAGTGCTACTTAAACATGCCATCATTTATTACCGCAACTGATGGCATTTCTGAATTTAACACACACACACACACACACACACACACACACACACACACACACACACACACACACACTATATTATTTGATTTACATTAATTAAAATTGTTCATTAATTGTGCATAATAAGTAGCAAAAGGTAACAACTTTACTGAATTAGTAATTAAAAAAAAAAATTTTCTCAAATAGTCACATTTTTTTTTCAATTTCAAAAGTAATTATTTTTAAATGACTTTCAAAACATTATTTACCATACATACCTCTTTAATGAGAATACAGTGAAAGGTTAAGAAAAATACATCAACCTTGTTGAAGAAGTTTAAATCAGTCAGTGTTCAATTGTTGGTAAGTCTCACTTATGTGTTTTGTTCCCGATTGAAATGCCCTTTTCACTGCTCTTTCATTATTTTTTTCTTGCAAAAAAAGGAGTAGAGCTAAAAAAAAATTAGAGATTTTTGCTAAAAAAAAAAGGAGTAGAGATTGCATTTTGTCAAAATAGTTTTTGTTACGACAAACTTCATTTATTCATACATTAAAAATAAAATAATTATTATTCTCTATTTTATGATTTCTTGAAAGTTCAGTGTTTTCTTTTATCTACATTTTAAGTTATTTAATTAATTCTTGTATTTTTACTTTAAAATCTGCTCACCACATACTTCGATGAAATTTTCAAATGTATTTTACTGCATGTATTATTGTAAGGAATGTATAAATAAATGTATTTGATAATGTAATTTTTAAGGAAAAACATTATGTTGAAGTACAGTATACTGTTAGTCCTGATCGCTGTCCCTGCATATTGTGATTTACTTTCGGAAGCTGGCGAATTTTTTTCAAAGCAGTTTACCGATTTCAAATCACTTTTTGCAAAGGATGAAAAAGTCAGTTTCGTGCCTTTTTTTTCATCTTTTTTCCTTTTTTTTTTTTATCATATTTGTTTCATCTCTCTTCCTGTTAATTAAATAAAAATACATTCAACCTTCAAAATTGATAGGAAAATCATCGATTGATGATGATATTACAAATGTTAATGATTTTTGGTAAGAAATGAAAAGTTTGAAATTAGAAAATTGAAAGCATTAATTATTAAATATGCCGGAATTTAAAGTAAAATGTGTCTAAGCCTATTGAACAACATTTCATTTCGTAAAATTAATCATTGCTATAAGTGATGAGAAGTGTTAAGATAATGATCAAAAACTTTAAGCAATTACAACAAAGTGTAGAGCGAGTGAAAAATCTTTTGGCGACAATCCAAGATAAAATGGCAATATTAAAACCATTGGCTAACGACGAGCAGAAAAAAGTATTGGATAAAGTTGGCAATCTAATTTCCCAAGTCAACGATTTCCAAAAAAATGTATGTTTTCCTAGTAAAATTGCTGGCTATGATTTGCATTAGTAGCTGTTGAAGAGCAACTGAAATAGGTTTCTTTTTCGATGAAATCTTAGAAATAAAAAATCACTTTTTAAATATAGGTTTAAAAAAATGTGCAATTCAAGTTAAAGAACTTAAATTTTTGAAATAAACATAGGTTTTTCCATACCATTTGAAATTTTCGGGATTAATTTTTATTGTAAATTGCAAAGAAATTCGGTACCGTTCAATACAGAGTTGTGTTAATAATAAGAAAAAAATTTTTGCCAACTTGTGACAGAAATAATTTTTTGCCTTCATTCAAAAATGACTTAACTTGCTTCTAAATTTTCGATTCAGAAATAACACTTCTGTTTTAAAAGCTCAATAATTTAACACAATCATATAATATCGTTTAAGTCCTGTAGGTTAAGAAAAAAAAAAATTAATAAATTCCAAAAATCTTTGCTCAGTGTTACTTTACTCATCAAGTAGCAGAAACTTGAATGTAAAAGAAAAAGCTCTGCTTCAAATAAATTTAGTAAGATTTTGATTAGTAGTGTATCATCTTTTTAGATATTTTTGATATTTAATATAATAAAGCTTCAATTTCAATTTTTTTTCTGAAATAAAATGTTTAAAAAAATCGATCATTTAATAGTGGAATAACGCAGCAACCAATTTCAACTGCGCAACACAGTTTATATTTTCAATTTTTCTCATTTATTAGGCTTTCTGAAAAAGATCTATAGTTTCAATTGTCCAAGTCATTCTGCGCCATCGACAGTTAAACTACTGATTAAAAAAAAAATTGCTAACACATTAATTTTATTTTTGTCACGCACTTTTTGAAGTCGTAAAATTACAGGTGTTTCAAGCTAAAATGGAATTCAATCAGAAAGAGACTAGTTGGGAGAATCTTGTCAAAAAGTTTTTTGTTACCGAAGGTCTCAGCAAGATTATAGCATTGCTGCAGAAGTCAAATGGTGCACCTGCAACATTTGCAACCTATCTGCTCACCTGTACTGTTCCTCTTTTGATCAATGCTTTACGAGAGTAACATTATTCCTATTCGGAATTTGTTAATTGTACACATTTATATCGCATTTTTCATTAATTTAGAGTGATGCCATATACCCGCATATTTTTTACAGTCAGCTAAGTTTTGTTCCTCATTTCTCGTACTTCACTGTGAATTCCTCTTTTTATCCCGATTTTCCTAAATATTGTTATATTGATCTATCAGATTTATAAACTGTACTTAGACTTTCAATAATTCTTTCTCAAACAAACTGAATAGCATTGCAACAACTTATTCCTAACACAAATAGAACGTACAACTGTGTAACGTTTGTGGGATATAGAGCATTGTTAAGTGGATTATGCTTTTCAAGAAACGAAGATTATCAAGAAATGATGATCGATTTTTAAATCCATTAATTCATTATGAAATATAAAAATTTTATGGATTAATAGTAAATAAAGCGACTTTTACGTTGATGACAATGCAGTGAAATGTATTGCAAAATGATGGCACAATATTTTATCCATTTACTAAAAATCATTCACTTCCTCACTGAAGCTCTTTTTTTCCTTCAGAAATAAAAACCTGGTCCAATCCAAAAGGATTATGAAAAAAGATGATGATCTGATAGTGTTTTCCTGTCAAAGAGATGAAGCAAAAAAAGGAAATCTCACTTTTATGATAAAATATACCAAAAACACTGTTATTTCGATCTTGAATAATCGAGTAAAAGGGAAATAAAAAAGTAAACGGTAGAGATTGGTCACATACAGAAATAACTGACTTTGAAAATCAGAAATATTCTTTCAGGAAAAAGCAAGCATTAAAACAGTTTCGAATGTTTTCAAATTTAACCGGAAACATTGCACATAAAGTAATACAACGGAATGTATATGCCTTTCCAACTTTAACAACAAGAAAACAAAACGATCTCTGCCAGGATTATGCATTAAGCATTCATGAGTGGTAGGAATCTAAAACTTAAGAAAGAACGAGAAATACCTTAGCTTTGTTCTGTTAAAAAATATATCAAACTCACAAGATGAAACTTAACGAAATGAACACAAATATACAACAAATGATTAGTGGGAAAAATTCAGAAAACAATTTCCGAGCAGCTAAACTGTCAAAAAAAATGAAGAATAAAATTAAGTAAAAATGGTCAAAATAAAACAATCATTCGGAAATATATAAATGATTACAACGAACACTACAAGAATTATCTGATGAAGCTGGCACCCATCTTAAATTGATTTTAACTCCATTGGTTCCTCAAGCAATTATCGTAATTATGAGCTAATCCCATAAGCTTTTCAATATCCTAGAGTACAGTCAACAAATAAAATATTAGAAAAGGTCAAGTAGTTCCAACTTCACTATTCTTCATCACACTGTAGCTGACATCATTAACTAAAATGAGACTATTCCAATGAATAGATCTGTCACTACATTATGTCGAAAATAAAAGTTTTACAATGAAATAAGGAAATTAACAAGCTCCTTTCGGTAATTATTGTTGATTACATTATGAAAACATAATATAGGTATTTTGTAAGAAATAAGGCTGCATAGCAAAAAAAATATGGTTGTGTCAACAGTAACTTAAATGAAATTGTAAAAGTTATGGCTAACAGCCAGGGATATAGATCTGTTACAAAAATTTGTATTTATTTTGAGAGAGACTGAAAGAATTTGTATCTCAATCTATAAGTAACATTAGTAAACAACATAAAAGTGAAAGAATAAAGCAATGACACTTATTCTTCATATGATGATAATTCAAAGATACAATAAATAGCCTACAAAGTTTTCTACAAAAAAAAGCCTTTGGTCGATAAAATAATCGTTGGCAAAATAAGGTAACGATGAAAAGCGGCTAATAAACTGGTCCAATATGATACACACGAACATTATGGTGGAACATAAGGTGGAGGTTGTCTCTGGTTCGTGAATGCATTTCGAGGTCGCGGACTTGATGCAGTAGAAAGCGGAGGAGGTGGTTTGTAAAGAGGATTCTCATGCTGAGAAATGATTAATGGTGGACGTTCTTCCTTAACTAGCATTGGTGTCGATACTGTTGATGCTTCATCTTCTTGCGGGATTTCTTCCGGAAATACTACGGGCAAACCTTTTGAAATGTACTCCGATTGAACTGAAATACATTTATTTTTTGAGAATAAATTTATTTTTCGAATCACGTTGCTCCAACATCAAATTTCCTAAAAAGCTGTCCCAGAAAAAAAATCTAAAGATCTTAACAGCAATATTGACAGTTCAAACCTGTTTTCGCTTTTTTTCGTTTTATCAAGCAGCAAATTAATGCCAGTGTAGCCAAGAAGAATTTAAAAAATGCAATAAGGGCAACTGGTAACCACAGTTGAACAGATGAAACATCATGATCCGAAGTATCAGTGGTTGTAGATAACGAAACATTTGCCGGCAGACGAGATGCTGATGATTCATCGATACAAGATCCTGAATCGACAAAAACAGTAAAATCCCAAAACATAAATTTCAATTCGAAAAGAAATAATATCCAGCAGCAAAGCAAAAATACAGAAGGATGGACCACTACGGTTCTCTAAGCAAATGGTGCAATGCCCCTCCACTAGCAGTGGAGTGCAATCTATGGTCTTAGCGAGGATAGAAACAGCTTACATAACCAATCGTCAAATATTACATTTAATTTTCCCGCTGGTTAAACCCAAATGTAATTGCGAGCATTTACGTGCTAGTGAAAGATAGGATATGGAAATGCTAAATTACCTAGCAACTCTAATTTCACATTCCGCACATGGAATCGACTATCCATTGCTCGAACAAATTCGGCTCGGATACGATCCCGTCTTCTAGTTAGCATAACATGCTTAATTGCATCAATTGATTTTTTTTGGCAATATTTGTATGACAAAGAAGCATTTGAAAAGATGACACGGGACTGACGCCTTACACTATCAACTGCCTCAATTTTCCTGCAAAATATTAAAAATATAGTACTTTGCGAACAAGTGCTGCAAAATGAACCAAATAATATTCCCACACTTTAACAACATTACTGAATAGGCAGTACAAAACATATACAATATTGATCCCTCAAAAAGTGCTTAAAAAATAACCTAATAACTAAATTTTTTGGAAACCGATCCCCTAACGAATTAGCCAACTTTTCCGCAAATGCGTATAAAATATCTGGATCCTTCGCCAAACGTTCAAAACTGTGATCAACATCAAGAATAAATAAGTGATTAGTCGGTGGTTCTGGAATAACAGTTGCTCGAAAAGGTGCAGATGTCATCTGTAAAAACGGAGAAATAACAGCATATAAATGATAATGCAAAAATTCATACCAGAAATTGATTGTGATTTATATCACAATCATGTAATTCACAAGATACCTTTCTCGTGTTATTGAGAAGCTAATACTTTTTTTCCATATCTTTCCTATCATTATATTGCCTTCACTTGATGGTTATGCGATTATTACTATTCACTAGCACAATGGAATTTATAAGAACAAATGTTTAGCTTGCCTGATTTGCAGAGTCTCGTGCTTCTAGCCGAAACTCAAAATCCCCTATATTCAATGAGATACCGTGTAAAACCAGCTTATTTTTTCTGTCTAACGTAAGCCAATTATTATCGGCAACAATTGGATAAACTGATAAAGCAAGCGAACGCGTATCTCCATCTTCCGCATCAATGAATGTTTCCCTTGGAATGATATACTCGCACATCATACCTCTAAATTACACTTTACCTTGTCATATACCGTATATATATCATATATAATGAGGTGAAAAAAGACTGGCAAAATAATGACTGATGATAAAACTCAATTAATAATTAACTACATCAATAAATTTATATCAACTGAACCGTATTAAACAACGTTATGAAAAAGCATCAAACTGCACCTTCTGCAAGTAAAAGCTTGAAGTGAATGCAACCGAACTGGAGGTCTGTCATCTTTTTTTGTAGAGCGCGAGGAACGTGTTGTGGTTTTAGAAGTTGTCGCTTCAAAATTAACATATGGTTCATTGGTAGCAAAACCAGAAAGCTGAGATAAGACATCGGTTCCAGAAATATGGTTACGTTGTTTCCGCGACAATAAAGTTCCTTTTCTCAGCTATAAAGCTTTTGACTAAAATAATTTTTTGAAACGAATTAATAAACTGGTCAGAGAATGATAAGCGAATTAACTTATGACTAACTCTACCTGTCGATCCAAATACAACTAAAACTGCAGTGGTTCTAAAGACACATTGGAAAATTTTTGATAGAATTCTTGGATTTAAGAAGAGACGCTGAGAGTTGAAAGATTTCTATCAAAGAATGCTAATCAACTTTCTAAAATTTCAGTTAAATCAAAATGGCACAAACCTCCCAACCAAACAGTTTTTGTCGTGATATTGCCAAAGCATCACTTTCATCGAACATGAGCATCCTTTCTAAAACATCAATAGCATCCTCATCAATTTCTTCGCAGGAAACTTTCCATAGAATTGTCATTGAATCACTGTTCGGCTTATGCTGCATACCGGATTCCACGACTTCTGAGCGTCTTACTTCTCCCTTGTATTTATTTGAATAAACACGAAGCAAAGAACTGAAAATCATCAGTGCACTTCATCTCAATAATTTCAAATAACATACTTTCCGTATACGTGCTGGATAAGACTACACGTCAAATATACTAAAATTTATTATTAAGATAACTATGATAATGTCACAGGAACTTGATAATATGATAGGCATTATAGAGTCATGCTAATTGTTGGAAAACATTCAGTGCCAACTGTCCTAAATTTCGAGCTTCTACAAGAATCTTTCAAGAACTATAAATTTTCGTTAAAAGTCAAGAAAAAAAAAACTGTTTTTGCGTTAGCTTAATCTTCTTACTATTATAGTGCTTACATCACACACATCTTTACTTACCTATTAATGTTAAAAAATTTTGCGACAACATTAACAAGATGCAACTGATCAGTTATATTCAGACTGCTAAGCGAAGTATCAAATGCAATTTCCATCCACAATGTATTCCTTTCGGCACCACATGGATTTATGATTTCTTCCTTGACAGAAATTTCCATTACATCGTTAGTCTGATCACTTGTTATCCGTAAAAATATTTTTCCAACATCAGCAGGCTGTGGTATACCTTCCAAAATTCTGAATGAACAAAATACCATATATACTTTTTCCATCATTTGTTTAATTTGAAATGAAATTCTTGAGGAGTAAAAAAAATTACTGTTCATTTTTTTTCCAAATTAACCATGCTGGTAGTTCCTCGCCAGATGCATCCTGGATATCCAATACATTTGAATTAATTTGAAATGCGTAGTGAAATGGTTGACCAATTACTAATTCTACCATTTCGGGTATCACTGCTACCCCGCTGACTACACATATAAGCAGTGCTAATATTATTGGTTTAAAATATTCCATCTGCAAAATTTTTATGGAATTAAAAATCTGCATTTATTAAAGCTTTGCATTAATTGAATATTCAAAAATATTACACACTGTCCTGAACGGTAATGTTTATTCTCACGAAAAAATTACTATAATTAGTCATATAATATGGCAATTTTTACTTTCCCACTAATCAAATATTTACTCGATAGATTCCAATAATATTTCCTCATTTTTTTTTTACGCTGAAAATAAATATACCGAATCACCATGTAAAAAAGTGGAGCTTATTTCCATTCGTGTAAGCAAAAAAATTTAACAAACCTTATTAACCATCCTAATTAAGAAAATTGGGACATAGTTTGGTTTGTGGAACAAATAGCTTTTATTATTATTTCAATTAGAATAATAGAATATGTTACGATTAGCAAAAAAAAAAAGAGATCAGTGCTGAATAAAAGAACAATGACAATGTTAGTAACATAGTGCTTTACGATTCCTCTAAAACAACTAAATACTGAAATAAATGAAAAATATTGAAATTGCAATCATATATCCTACCTCCACTGGAAATCGCATAAGAACAGTATGAAATCACCATAGAAGATTCACAGCAATCAAGAGATAGTCATTTTGAATTAGGCGTTATTTGAGGATAAGATAAAGATCGATAAAATTTGGAAAATATTTAAATCAGACATTCAAGTTATGAAATAGCCTTGAAATATAGGAGACCATATGACTTGTTGAAATTAGCGAAAGAGCATGTAGCTTGAGAATGAGACAGTTGTTGTGCTGTGGTCGTGGTGTTAGTAGCTACGATGAGTTAGAAATTTAAGACATTATAGAGTAGATAAGATTTATAACATTTATTAGATACAGTGGAAAAGATAATGAAGAGAACATCTTTCCTGATATCCGGAATCAGTATAACCGGTTTGGGCTCAAATTGCATGTCAATCTAAATTGTCCATTTAATATTGATTGGTATCGGTAGCGTTTTTGTGTTTGGTAATAGGTTGGTGGGAAGTGGTTATTTGCTATTTCCGGATCATTTTTTGGTTTTCCTGATTGTATGTATCATAATGTGTTTTTTTTTTTTGTGGAAGGGGTAGTAACTTTTTTAGTTCATAGTGAAAGGGTAGAAAATAGGAAGAAATAAAAATAGATTTTCTGAAAGAAATTGCAGGAAGAAACTTTCAAGGAATAAAGTGACCTTTCCTACCCTTATTCCTAGTTATCCATAATTATTACTTCGTTAATAAATTATATCATCTTTGAAAGAAGAGAATTCTGTGGCAGTATTTTTTATTTAGGTTAGAAAATAGAAGGTAGATTAAATTTTGATAAGGAATACATCTCACTAATTTTCAGTAACCTCGAAATGCCAAAAAAGAATATGAAGTGAAAAAGCAAAACCATTTTTAGTTAGAAACCTAGAGCAATATTTTGTTTCAGATTTTGCATATTAGCCAATAGATGAGTCAAGCGTATTACTGTGATTGTTAAGAAAGACTTCGTAATTTCAGATTTTGCTCTCCAAGACTAGTCTAAATTTGCATTTTTATAGAAATCATTCTTTACAAATTTTCATTTCGTTACAAATTTGTATATCCTTTGAGCTTGCATCATTGTGATACAGCGATTCAATATTTTTCCTTTTCAGTTTCTCCTTTGTTTATTTACAGATGAGGGATTAGGGCGGGATGGCTGATAGTTTATGCAGTCCGTTGGCACCGTGTAGGTGGCCGGTGCATCTTTTGGCTGGATCAGTGGCTGGTCTTGCCGAACATTGCCTCATGTTTCCATTCGATTCAGTGAAAACTCGATTACAAAGTTTATGCCCATGTCCAGAAACAAGATGTCCAACAGCAATGCATAGTCTTTTATCAATGGTGAAACGCGAAGGTTTGCTGCGATCACTGAAAGGAGTCAATGCTGTTGTATTTGGTAGCATTCCGGCTCATGCTTTGTATTATACGGTTTATGAAAAGTTGGTATTTTGGTTTCTTTTTTTCAGACTGAACCATTAAGTTGATCTCTTCACTACTAACAAAGACCAGATTTATTCCTATATTTTCACTTTCTTTCAGAGCAAATGGGTATAATTTCCATTTTTTGCTTTGTTATTTTCTTGCTTTTAGATTTATAGAAATTTTTTTGCTTAAATTTTCGGTTGATATATCTTCTTCTTTCTGATCCAAATCATAAAGAAAATTTGCAAGTTTTTTATTGAAATTCTAAAAAGCTTACAGTTCCAAAGCTTATTTGCTAAATAATCCGCGCGTATCTAGTTCGACGTCGTATGCGATATCCGGAACGCTTGCTACTGTTGTCCATGATGCTGTTATGAATCCTGCTGAGGTATTGAATTCTTGTAATTCCTTTATGATTTCTTGGGAAGTGGGGAAATCATTTAACCAGTGGATTGATTGTAAAGGATGGCTTGAAGGGTAAAAAGTCGATTTTCATCTAGAAGCTAAGAGGTCAATATCAGGCTTGTGTTGCACCATTGGTAGATATTCCTGTTAACTGTGTTATTTTCAGGTAGTGAAACAACGCATGCAAATGATTTTTAGTCCTTACGGTAATAGTCTAGAATGTATACGCTGTATCTATATTCGAGAGGGTTTCAAGGCTTTTTACCGTTCATATATTACGCAGCTAACACTGAATATACCGTATCAGTGTACACATTTTATGATATATGAATATATGCAAAACTTACTAAATCCTCATCATAATTATAATCCCTCTTCTCATCTTGTTTCCGGAGGTATGTTTTTTACGCTTTGTATTTTAATAACAAATGAGCTTGTTTTTGTTTCTAGCATCTACGAAGTCTTTAGTAAACACTTCATTTTTATCAAATTGGAAAAGATTTTCGCATAATGACTCTTTGTTCCTACGACGTCATGCACAATTGTAATTTCAGGTGCTTCTTAACCTGGTCGTATGTTGTTTAGCAGTTTTTGAATATTGCACTTGCGGCAAATGCGTATTTGTTTTAATGATGATTTACTGAACGCCTTTATCTCTCTCTTTAGAATTTCAAATTCCAAAATAATTTACAGGAATTGCTGGTGGAATAGCTGCAGCTATCACAACTCCTTTTGATTGTGTAAAGACTGTTTTGAATACACAACAAACTCCCCGCCTTAATACGACGTATCGATTGCTCACTCAGAACGGACATACAGCATATTACAAGTATTTTCTTTAATTCTCACTAAAATTAATTTTTCTTGCTTTAAAACTTGATACTGAATTTTTTTTGCAGCAGGTTTTCATTCTACTGCAAGCTTCCTTAGATGTTTCTTGCTTTCATTTATTCTTTTAAGTATATAAATTTTTTGCAGAGGACTGGCTGACGGGGTTCGGACGATCTATTATCTTCGAGGCACAGGTGGATTCTTCCGTGGACTTCAGGCTAGAATAATATTCCAAGTTCCTTCCACAGCACTCAGCTGGTCTGCATATGAATTGTGCAAATACATGCTTTCTGTGCGAAGTTGATTCCAATGTTTAATACGTTCATGGTATGCCGAGTGCCTACCTCTTTAATTTCAGTTCAGCTAGTCTGGTTAGTTTGTTCCATTTATTGCCTTTATAAGGTTTCTTTTCTTATGGTTGAATGTTACAAACGGTTCATGCGTTCTCGGTTTAGAATTTATATTTTTAATAACTTTGATTCAGTTTCATATTTTGTATCAAGTAGTATCTTTACTCACTGGCGTTTTTGTATAAATGATGATAATGATTTATTCTTGATTATTTTTACTTTTATACGAATGTCTTATTGCACATTAAACTGATAATAATAATAAACAGCTTGAATTTGTGTTTGTAATTCTGATCATAAGCTGTTTTTGGCACATTTATCTAGCATATGTTTTCTTTTCTAATGCACGTGAAGAATTTTGAACATACTGGATTTGGAAAGCTAAAGGGAAGAAAGACATTTGATGTTGTAGGATCTTGGAAGCTTCACTGCTAAATAAATCGAAAATGCGGTTTTCATAGTTATTTATAGCTTTTTTTTAATAGAATTAGAAAGGGGATGTATATATTTTTCGCATCAGTTGTAAAAATTGCTTTCTTTATGCATAGATTCACTAAGTTATGTATAATTACCAGAGTGAAAATGTCTGGAAATTGTGCCAATATTGGTAACATTGCATCGATACAAAACGAAGAAGAGCACAGATTGATGCCAGAGCGAAACCTTGACCATATTATGTTATCACGTGGAGACGTAATTCATGCTGAGATGGAATGCATAAGTGATGATTCCGAATTTATGAAAACTGCTTCATCAGAGTTTAAAAGTGACATTGCATCAGGTACTTTGTAAGGTTCATTTGAAATCGTGTAACTTTAGGCACGTGGAAGAGGCAGTAGTTACGTTAATGTACTGAATCAGCTTGCAGTCGTGTATTACTTTGTAGAAACAATTTGCTGCGTTTGAGCATTATTTTTGGTTGCTTTTATTAAATTATTTTCTTTCATTGTTGTTACTTCTACAGACATCGATATAACAACGGCAGGTACCAAGTATAATTATAGTAGGAAATATCTCTCGGGTTTCATAATTACTGTATGTGAGCTGCTGAAAACGAAATAGGGAAATAAAGAAGAAACTGTTGGTAGTCTTCCTGGAAGGTAGGTTAGGAAAAACAGTTTGATGGAGGTTTGAATTCTAGGAGAAATTTATATGCTAATGTGTAGTTTAGCATTGAGAAACATGATACATAAAATAGACAGTATTGGTAATATTTATAAGTTTTGGGAGGGTTATCATGTATCCTAATTTGTTTTCATTTCAAGGCACAACTTATATGACAGATCACTCTGTGATATCTGTAGTAGATTCCTCATCAAATTTTGCTGACCATGTGTCAGCAAGCAGAGTTAGCTCCGAAAACATTGGAAGTGATGTGAGTTTGGGTAACAAAATGGAACAGATGGAAGCTAGCGATGCGGAAAGGAGTGAACGTATCCATGGGGAACAGGTCAGGAATATTTCAGTAATCTGCAGACTACATTCTAACCTTTGTCAGCTGTTTCGATTTCGAGTAATTTGCTCTTTTGTGAGTGTTTGTTTGAATCAAATTCGATCTAAAAAAATTTACTATTATTCAGAGGCGATGTTTTGGAGGGTTTATGTTCGATCGAAATCGTCACCCCAATCCAGAGCTTCCGAAGGAAACCGGTATTTTTTTACATCAATAATTTTGAATAATTTTCTTGTACACAGTAAGGCCGGCAGTTCCAGTCACCTTTTAGTAAAGAAAAAACAAAAAAATATGTTTTGGGATGCTAAATTAAGTGAATATTTAACAAGTTGTTTTTATTCACCCGAAAATAATTACGGAGCACTAAGATTTTTTTTAATATTCTGTTCACAGAAAACTGATAGGTTTTTCGTGTCCTATGCGTTGGTAATGCATTTCTTCCAGATGCAGACAGTTAGGGAATGTCTTGTACATTTTTTCAGTGACAGTTCTGCACTATCCTTTCCCGCCTACAGTTATACCGGTTGGAGATGATGAAAATGAATTCCGCAAATCATTGGCTGATGCAAAAGTAAGAACTCGGAAATCCTCAATATATGTAGTGCTTATTAAATTTTTTTTTTAATAAAAACATGTTCTTGTTTATATATATATATATCAAATTAGTTTACCGTATAGATTACTAATGTAATTTAGGTGTATTTGATTGGTACGGCTCATTTTTCACCCGATAGTCAACAGGACGTCTTGAAAACAATTGCAAGTACTCAACCAGATATGGTTATGGTTGAACTTTGTCCATCGCGAATATCAATACTCTCAATGGATGAGGATACTTTACTTCAGGAAGCGAAAAATTTGAATTTTGACAAAGTTATCAATACCATTAAGCAGGTATGTTGCTGTGTATAGTGGAGCAGATTTTGGAGGTTATTGCCTTCGATGTTGCTGTTGAACTAACAACATTATCCGTTCAGAGTGGCACAGTTCAAGGAATACTTCACGTATTGTTGTTGTCGATGTCTGCGCATATGACAAAGGCGCTTGGTATGGCGCCCGGAGGAGAGTTTCGAGCAGCTCACAAGTAATGTTGTATCTGAAATTATTCTAAATAAAATTTTTTTGTTCTCTTTAAATTCATAATTCCAAGTAATTTTCATGTGCAGTACCGTAGTACCATTTTAAAGTGCCTTGTTTTTAAGATTAATTCTGATTAGTAGTAATGTTGTTCACTGGTGCGTGATCCCACTTCCAGATTTTCAGAGGTGCTATGAACGTAAAGATGTGCAAACTAATTCTGGGTGATCGTCCAATACACGTGACTGTACAAAGAGCATTAGGCTCTCTAAGCTTTTTTCAAAAGCTTCGACTTTTCTACCATATTGTTCTTTCACATAAAACAACTATCACGTAAGTTTTTCACAGGTTTATTTTTCGTTTTTAATGTTCTTACTCTTAAACTGTCATTTAAGATTTATTTTTGCTTGTTTTTTTCAGTCAGGAAGAAGTAGAAAAATGCAAGAAGTCAGATATGCTGGAAGAACTGCTTAAGCAGATGGCTGGTGAATTTCCACTGCTTTCAAAAATCTTTGTGGAAGAACGTGATCTGTATATGACCAACGCGTTGCACACTCTACTCAAAAAGTCTACATTTGATAAGAGAGTGGCATGGACTAAAACACATGGTAATCTTCCTTTATGATTTGTGTAGATAACGAATATCGAAAATTTGTATGTTATGCAGATAGATATATTTCACACTGCTCGTTCTGTTGACTCCATGAAAGAATCATACTTATTACCAGCTGACGCGTGAAGTTCAGGCGTATGTGAAATAAATGAAAATTGAATTATTCCGTTTCACATAAAATGCTTAAAATATTCAATACGCAAGAAATTTTAATTTTTTTGTTAATAATGACATGTTTTTTCAGCCACCTGGCAGCCAATATCTGTTGTAGCCGTTGTCGGTATGGGACATGTTCCTGGGATCATTTCTAATTGGAATAAAAGAATTGATGTGGGCGATCTTCTAACGTTAGTCTTATTATGTCACCTTTTACAGCCAACACGCAGAAGTTGGATCCATTCTTCGTATCAGTTTTGTATTTTTTTTCCCATTCTTTCACAGTGGTTATCATTGAATCAAAAATGAAAAAGACAGTTTGAGGAGGTTCCAAGCCAGATTTCACTTTGGTATGATATATGAATTTTGACGCCAAAAGTTTTGTTCTCATTGGTGGGCAATGCATTGGAAAAGCGTTCAGTAGAGAAACCGCGATTCAAAGGTCGTATTTAATGACAAAAAAACCGACCGTAAATACGAGTTTATTTTTCAGCATACCACAACCAACACATACTGAAAAGTTCATCCGCTTAACTCTGAAAGCGATGATCATTGGCGTAGTGGGATATGTATTTTATCAAGTTGGTTCAAAAGTGGTCAACAAAGTGCAGATGTTAATGAAATGATATCTTGGTAGAAAATTCAAATTTCCTTTGTATTGGCAATATAGCGAAACATACATCTCTTATTACATCACTTTCAACACGAACACTATTCGTTTCTGTGCAATAGTAAAAAGAAAGTATTTTGATTGCCACTTACATTATCTGACTTCTTTTAATGTTGTTTTGTGTGCTGTTTCTGATCTAGAACAAGATGACAATGATTTAGCTGAACGATTTCTTTTATTTGCCGGATAATTCAATCCCAAAACAAATTTTAAAATGATTGGTTGCATGTAATATATTAAACTTCTTGCTGTTATAGTACCTTTTGATAATAGACGCATGTCTTCCGTCCTGCGGTGAAGTGCTTTTTTTTTATGTTATTACAAAAAAATTTTAGTTACTGGTGTTTCTGGAACTTTCATCATTGTGTGTTGTGGCTGGCTTTATAATTGTTGTTAACGCTTTCTCCTTGCTTAACTCATTTTCTCGCTTCAGGGAAACAAAGAATTGACTAGTAAAATTGTTATCTGGTTGTGTAATTTTTTCTCGAAGGCTCTTGTTGAAGATGTACCGAGTTTATGGACGACTTGACCAGATTATTCGCCTTTTTTTGTTGTTTTTTCGGTTTTATTTTCTGTTTCTGTATTCTGAAGTTTTGTCATGTTGCAATAGACAAGTTTAATTCGAACATTATCAGTAGTATCGGAATTGCCCGGTGATTCTGGTTAGTACATTCTGCATTTACTAGTGTAACTTCGCACATACATAGGCGCAGTGGTGGTGGCTGGTAATACCAGTCATCAATTAATTGATCCGCTCGCTCGTTAATTTGTGGGATTTTTTGCTTCATTCATTTAAATATTAATAATGAGCACCTGGCGGGTAATGCTAAATTAATGCGCACAATAGCTTAGTGCCTTATATTGCGTGGTATTACACATTTCGAGAACATCAATATTCCTTACTTCATTTTGCTTTTCGTTTTTGTTAAATTCATTTTGCATTTCTTGTCTGTTGCTACTATGCATCAGTTATTTCTTCCTACTTTGTGTTGCTGTGAACATATTATGTGAATTTAACAAAGAGGAAGAAAAAGATCATTCAATATATCACACTCCGTTAAAGTTATTTTTGATAAAATGATGTGTCATTGGGTCGGGATGTGTATATGTGCAACTATCTCGCTTTTTTGAAATTTCATTTGAATTTCACAATTGTTATTTCAGTTGATTTTGGGTCAATGAGACTTCTCAACTGGGAAGAAACTTTTTTCTCTTTTAGGAGATTCTTTCAGACCATGAAATGGAAGGTAACGTAAGTGCCAGCTAAGGATTAAGACGAATGAGGATGTTGTTTTACAACTCTAAATTAAAAATGTTTACTTTGGTAACCAGTCTTGCAGGGAATAAATAATTGATGGGTGTGATTGTTAACCCAATGAAAAGTATTATTTCGCTGGGAAAATCGATATTGAAGTCCTCAGCTACTGAAGGCATTTTGATCGTAGCTTCAACATGCATTTGAAGATAAACTCCGATATGTGAAGTGAGAGATTTCATAATTTGGGAATGTTTGAAGTGAATGAGGGAGTGGTGTATGACAATTTTGTCATGCTAAATAGTAAAAGCGGTGGAAGGTCGTTATCGAATTACTAATAATTCCAAATTGTTTGGTAGTTGGCGTTTCGCTGATAAGAGATGTGTGGTAGTTTTAGAGTGTGGAGAGTGTGTTGGTAGTAAAGTATCAGTAAATTGTTGTCCCTTTTCCATCTATCCTCTCTTCTTTTTCCGTTTCTCTTCCTCTTCATTTTTGTCGCCTTTTATTTTTCACAATCAGACTTTCTTTCCTTTTCAGTTTTGAATCTCCCCAACCATTTTTTTAATACCGAAAAAAATTGCCTTGATAGATTCGAAATTTTGGAGGACAAAAAGGTAGAACAAGAGGTGGAACTGAATAATTGCACGAGAGAAATGTTAGGTGTAATTTTCTTTGCTACAAATGTTTTGCAAGTGGGATTACACTATAAGTCTGACAGTTGTTAGTCTTTAAACTTATCCCAGCAGTTAATTGGATGATCAATTTGCATATTTTGTTGTCTTACAGCAATCCATTTTGAGGTCATTCTTCCATATTTTGAAAATGATACAGTATTTGATCTTTATCCTTCTTTCAGCCAAAAACATATGGCACTGATAAATGGAGTGACAGTACTGTATTAATCAGTTTTAGTCTTAAGGATTAAATAACAATTAGCTACATTTTCATTGACTCACAAAGGTTTGATAGTTTAACAAGTTTCTATACAGGAAATATCTGCAAAATTTCTGCGGAAATTTTGACAAGTTAGTTTGGTTTAATGACAAAGTTGGAAAGGAAGTAGTTTAGCTGTATTGGTAGGAGTTCTGCATTTTATTGATTTTGTCTTTCCCGAATTTTCACAGCAATTTTTTAGAAGCTTTTTCTTTAGAGCTTGAAATAATAATTTTAACGATACCTACTTCCATTGATTGTGGAGATATTTTGCTGATTTCACGCACTACACATCTCGAATATCAGTAGTTATATTTAGTTCTCTAAGATTTCCTGGATATCATAATAAAGTTTTCCACACCTGCTTCAATGTCATAATTAGCTCGTATTATTTTACAATCTATATGTTTTAACCGACATTGCGTCATACTGAATAATGTCAGACCGCTTGGAATGCTGATTGATCATAATATTCAGGTATGGATGAGCTGAAACGTATCGCTTTCACAGCACCATTTCGATATGAAGAAGCAGTGCAATACACCGAAACGCTACGTAATACTGGAATATACGTTTCTATTCTATACGTGATTACAATTTTCTCTATCAAACTTGTAATGACTCGATTTAAACCATTCCAGGTTAATCTCTTTATAACACTTATTCCAACTGTATAATCGATGATAGTTCAGTCATTAAAAGAAAAATAATAACAGACAACATTTTATTAAAATTTTTACATCTTCAAATGTAGCTTTTAACGTTTTAGCTTACCGCAGCGTTAAACTTTTGGAATACTTGGTTGGCAGTGTTTAGCGTGTTGGGATCATTCTTCACATCGATTGCTTTATTTTCAGAAATCTACAATCACGGTCTTGTAGGTATGCATACTGCTAATTTTTGCAATAAAACAACTTATTGTTATCTACTTTTCAACTCAACGTAGTGTAAATTGACTTTTCCACCATTATACGATTAATGTAATCAATGAATCATTCCTTTTACTTAATTTAATAAATACAACTAAGATATCAGTGCGACATAGGATCTGTGGCTCATGGATGACGTTATGAGCTGTAACATATCAGATCGTGTTTGAGTAGCGTATTTGATCTACCAGAATTAATTTCTTTTGCAGCATCATATACGAAAATGGGCGATTTCTTCCAAGGAACCAGTGGCTATTGGTCATGGCTGTTTTGTTTATCGAAATTTGCAGAGCTTGGTGATACAATATTGATTGTATTGCGCAAGAAACCTTTGATCTTCTTACATTGGTACCATCATGTTTTAACTCTCAACTACGGCATTATATCTTACAGTCAGCATACACCATACAACACCTGGATTATATGGTTGAATTTCACGGTTCATAGTTTTATGTACAGGTAAGTTGTTTCTATTGTTGATAAGTTACTTTAATTCACCAACCAAACCTATTTTTTATCAACTGACATTTTGGCAATATCAAAGTAGCTAATAACTTTTTTGTTTTTGTTTTACTTTCATTTATTTTGAGTATTTCATTTCCCTTAATTTCACATAAAATTAAAACATATGTACTTGTCCTTTTTTTAATGTATAAATCGACATTCAGGAGAAATTCAGCTGTAAGCTATATATTTATCATTCATAGCTCATTGTCTTCTCTTTACAGTTACTATTTCCTGCGATCAATCCACATTCGTGTACCGGCAACAATTGCACGTAACATTACATCCATGCAAATGCTACAGTTCATTATAACGTTGCTTATCCTTATGCATGTTGGCTATTTGATGGCTATTGGTGAAGCTGTTGATGGAACGCTAAACACATATTTGCTGTGTTTGGGCATGGAAATTTCTTACGTTATTCTTTTTGCTAATTTTTACTATCAATCGTATGTGAAAGGTGGAGGAAAGAAATTCAAAGAAGAGAAAATGATGACGAAAAAAGATTAGATTTGATAGTGTTTTTTGTTTCATTATTTCCTAGGCATTGTGTCATAATTCTTGTGCCTATGAATTGAGAGTCTTCTAAATCGAAATGAATTAATTTTGCAACTTAAACTTTAGTTCTTTTCTTTTCATATGAAACAGAGAATGGATTGGAATCAATCTGGGAATTTTTTTATTAGATTTTCTGAAATTGCACTATCTTTGATGATCGTTTGATCCAGATTACTGAGTATCATTGGACAGTAGAAGAGGAGTGGGAAAAAGAATTTTTATAGATCACTAAAGGTGGGCGTGTGGAGCTGATCTATTCTTTTTTGTAAAGAAAATGGGGAAAAGTAGTAGAGTGTTAGTGCTGATCTGGAAATAGTAGCATTAGGTAGAAGTAATATGCAGGCAGATTTTTAGATCATTTTTTGAGGAGTTTTTTGGTACAATGACAGAGGTCAAATGCTTCTTTGCTCTCTGGCTTTTCTATTAATCTTCTATCATGTCTCCATCTGCTGTAGAACATTTGTTATGGTTCAATGTGCTGCTTGTGTCACTATTTTGTTTGTGATGCAATGCATTTTATTATGTTGCTACAAAACAACTAGAAGTTTGAGGGAAAGGTAAAAGCATTTTACACTTTTTTTCGAGAATTTCAATTCTGTTGGAATGTTACTTTATGATCATTGTAGTCCATTTCAAAGTTATTCAATCAACTAGAAGCTTAATTAAGAAGAGAATGGACATCGTCATTTCTCTCACTGAGTCAGTTTTTTTTTTTTTGAATTTTATTTCCGCTTATCGTTGGTGTCGTCCTTTTCTTGTCACCACCAATTAACATTTCATTATATTGATTATGCATTGAAGTAATTCTGCTTCTGCAACTCATTTATTGCACTGATGTCATTCCTTTCACAAGGTCATTATAACTGGAATTTTTTTTGCCCGTTTTTTTCGTACTGCATATCAAAGTGAAATATTTTCTCTTCCCTTCCATCATTTACATCGAATTGTTCATAACTTTTACTAGTAGTCGATACTCTTGTATTACCGATTTATTGAGAAAAAATATGTTGCTTCTCTTTTTTTGTTTCAAAACTTGAAATATCAACGACGTTAACAGATTTATCTTATTGTTTTCTTTGTTATGTTTGACATTCTTGTATTTCAAAGTCGAACATATAAAATCCATTCAAATAAATCTGTGTGAAATCATATATTTTGGGAAGTTAGAGATATTTTTTAAACTTCCTTCCATCATACATAACTGACAAATGAGTAAGCTTATTTCATCCTGAGTAATACAATTTATTCTTGATGAAGAGTGAGGTGAAGAAGATAAATCGGAGGGATCTTGCCCTTGAACATTCTGCACAAATTCCTTGTTAATTAACAATACAAGGAGGAAGGAGTGTTAAGTTAAAAATCATTTCCCTTATATCCATGAGAACAGTGACATGGGTGGAAGGCGATCTGTTGATTTCCAGTGATACTTTTTGAAAAGTAAGTCAGACTTTCTCCCCGGAAACCAGTTTTAGTGTATTACACATCAATTTACTACACCTTCCTTTCTTTGGTCCATTCATACAAGTTTTATCTATTTGAAAATAAAAGTGATGCACGAAGACTATTCCAGTTTCTCATTGATCATGTAAACGTCTTAACGTGTTTTAGGTGGTATTAAATGTTACTATTTCATAAAAGGTTTAATTAATTTTCAGATATAAATTTTCCGTTAATATAAATTCAACCAAAGTTGCTTTCCGTTTACCGACCTCCGAAAATCTTCACGTATTCATTATGACTACACATAAATGTGAATATAAATAATATCAAATAGGTGTACTTCAAATCATTTATAACTGATTTTTGATTTCTCATTGCTTTTTGTAATTAACCAATAAATTTGCATTCTCACATTTTCTATGGCAAAAAGAGAAATGTAACTTTTTCTTGTCATTGTTGGATTTTTGACATTTCTTTTTGCAAAAAATTTTTTTCTTTTTTGCTATTTACTTTTTGCATGTAATGAATGGAAATGGCATTTGAGACCAAAAAAAAATCTTTCGTAATTTTAGCCAAAAAAAGACACAAAGAGAGAGAGAGAGAGAGAGAAGAGAGAAGGAGGAGAGGGAAGGAGGAAAAGGACAGCTGTGCTTGCAATCCCTATCGATTTTTGATCTCTTCAGAACTGTTTGCCGGTGGAAGGAACAGGAAGAAGAGGGAGAGAGAGAGAGGGACAGGGACAAAGGATAGGGATTGGGTATAATACATCCTACCATCCATTATGTATTGAGGAGTATCATTTGCTTAATAACTTTGTTTAAATCGGATTGCGATATTTGCAACTTTTCATATTCCGTTGAAATTAATCCATAATTAGCGCAAATTCTGTTGAAATTAACGCATAGGTTAGGGATAGATTAGCGCCATATGCGTAACACGTTGAGACGTATTTGGGAATTTGGGATTTCCTTTTTTACGTGTAATAGATTTATCTCTCTCCCTCTCTCTCCCTCTCTCTTCCTCTCCTCCTCCTTGTCCCTTAATTTTTATTTGAATTTAAATTTATTGTAAATTAGTTTTGACACGAAAATGCGTGCAATTTTCAGACTTTTCGGAAAAATAATGTGTTAAAATTCTTTGAAATATTACATACACTGCAGTCATGATTTTCAGATTAAAAAAGAAAAATTGTTTGAATTTAATACTTATTTCTTGTCACTTATAAAAGTAATTATATGAAATTTGCTGCTTATTTCGTTTTACTTTATAAAATTGATTGCATGAAATTCATTACTTATTTTTTATTTCTTGTTATGATGTTTGAAATTAATTGTCTAAACTAATTAATTATCCGATCATATTGAAGATCTGTAACAGTGGATTAATAGAAAAGAACAAGCTACCATAGATTCATTTCACATAGTTTCTCTCTCTCTCTCTCTCTCTCTCTCTCTCTCTCTCTCTCTCTCTCTCTCTCTCTCTGTCAGTCTCTTTATGAAATTTTTTAGGGAAGGAAATTTAATTTGAAATAGGGAGAAACAACTGAAATGATAGACTAAGAGTGAAAATGAAGTACATGTAATAGAGTGTATGTGTGTATATTTTTGCTTACAGTGAGACTGTCACACTGCTGTCACATTCTGAACCCTATCATTGTCTGAAATATTTAATCTACCAATCATATACCATATACGAATACGAATAGACAATCTATTCCGTTAATCTTTCCCGTCATTTTAATCATATTTTAAATTCTTTTTTTTTTTTTTACTATCATTTCTCATCCCTCCGGTATTTCATTTTGCTCCTTGATCTTTTAATATATTTACGAATTAATAATGAGAAGAAGCGAAGATTGCTTAGCCTTATCTGTAATTGCATTCCCTTTTTTTTTTTCTGCTGATAAGAATGCACCATATAAAGTTTTCCAGTTTTTTGTAAATTGTATTTCAAAAGTTTCGTCCTCCTGCTTTTTTTTTTTTTTCATTAATGATAGCAATATATGTTCGCAAAAATGATAGTAGCAATAGCAATGGTATGTAATAGCTGTAGCGGTATACTTTCACTATGTCTTTATTTTTATAAATACCAGTCTAACATATAAGCTTGTGATATATTACTTTGAAATTGTTACAGTCTTTTTTTTTGATTTAATTGAAAAATATTTATGTGCATATTTTTAAACAAGAAAAAAAGAGGGAGTGGGAAAGAGAAGAGAAAAGATAAAAGTGTTTGCAATTAGATTTCCCACATTAAATATTTTCAATATATATACAATCGTCTATTTTTTTTTGTTCACCTCCTCTCTCTTTTCGCTCCATTATTTCGTCCCTTTTCCGGATCGAATATTATACTGATTGAAACATCATCGATAATATTTGCAAGAATAATTGATAGAAGTTAAATAAGAGAAATGATCGTTGATTGATGGATGCAATTTATAGGAATAATCGTTAAATTTATAATAATATATATATAATATGTTATTCAAATATTTCATTTCAATTGAATTTTATTATCATTGTTAACTCTTTTCTATTATTTAAAAAAATATTTTTCTTATTGCTAGTTTTTTCTCTTCTTTTTACAGGGACCAAGCAATCAGGGTATAATGGAATTCATATTTGGATCCAAATTTGAATTTGAACCAGCACGAAAATGGGCATCACAAATGGAATGGACTATATTAAATATATCATTAACATATGTGGTCACCATATTTGTTATCAAATATGCGATGCGTGATCGAAAACCGTATGATTTGCAGCAACCACTTGTTATTTGGAATGCTTTGCTTGCAGTTTTCAGCATTCTTGGTGTTGCTAAGATAACGCCTGTTTTTTTCAAACAAATGGCAACCAAAGGATACATCAGTTAGCATTTCTTGCATTTTTTTTTTTTACTTTTCGTTCATTATTCAGAAAGATTTCTGTCACTTATTTCCATGTTATTCCGGAAGACAAAGCTAAATTAAAGCATGGGCTAAATTTCAATTTTCTTTTTTTCTCTCCATATTGCTACTGAAAATCATTATTTGTCTCATTTCTTATTACTTTTCAATTTCGTTTTATCATTTAGGTACTTTCACTGAAATAGGACCGTGCTTCACTGATGACGTTGCTGGTTACTGGACTTTCTTGTGGATTGTCTCGAAAGTTCCGGAACTTATGGATACGATATTTATCGTATTGAGGAAACGTCCGTTAATGCTGATGCATTGGTACCATCATGCGCTTACGGGATACTTCGCAATCGTTACATATGCCAATAAAAATGCTTATATGATTTGGGTTGTATGGTTAAATTTCATCGTCCATTCCTTCATGTACAGGTAGATAGTTTAGAGCAGTCAAAGTTGAAAGAGCAATGTGGTTTTTAATGCTGGACTTTGTTACTTAAAGTTTCAAATTAAATTTTTTACGTTGTATTCATTTATATTTTCAGTTATTACATCCTATCTTTTCAGTTATTACATGCTACGATCGCTTCGTATACGTGTCCCACCACAGATTGCCCAGTTCATAACTTTTGGTCAGATCATTCAGGTTTGTTTATTAATTTATCATGTTAACATTTTACATGCTTTCAATGTTTTAGGACTGCCTATATATCTTTCAGATCTTAATGTAAATTGTTAGAATTGAAACATAAAGTTTTTTGTATTGAATTATTAATAATACTTATAATGAAATTTCAATATGATATATGAATTAACATTTACAGTTTGCCATAACACATGTAGTGATGATACATTTGGCTATTCTTGCTCTCACCACAACAAATAATAATTATGCTGTCACGTTGCGAGGTTTTGCGCTTGGCACTTTGATGGAAGTGACTTATTTGGTACTTTGGATACGCTTCTACTATGTGTCGTATTATGCGAATGGTGGAAAGAAATATATCGAGCATAAAAAGAATACCAAAGCTCAACAATGAGAAACAAAAAAGAAGAATATGGATTCATCTGATAAATCAATTATTTTGTTATTTAATTTGTTACCCGATTTCATTTCTTCTTGTCAATTATTTATTTCACTGTTGCATATGCCATGCTTGCAAAAAAAAAAATTTGATAAAGTTTAACGGAAATAGAGCAGGTAAAAACAGCCCATTAATCAATGCAATTTATGCAATTTTTCTGTCAAAAAAATGTTTAATTGTTGCAAGTTGGCTTTTTTTTTTTAAACTTGCTTTTTAATTCTTTGACCTCTCAGGCAGCAGTGTTTACACCACAATTTTTTTTTCGTTTTTTTGATCGTATTCCTTGATTTCTTAATTAATACAACTTCATAAATTCGTAAAAAAAATGTGTATCTCTCTCACAAATGTTTCTGTTCATCGTTATTGGCACTAATTAATATTGAAAGTTTTGAAAGTTTTGAAAGTTTAAAACGAAAGTCATATATTTGTGAGAAAATTGCAGTTTACTGTTACACTACATTACTTTTATTTTTACTATTTGTGGATAACACGGGAATATTTGTCACCATAACTAAATTCTGTTTTCCTTTATCTATTTAAATGATTACAAAGAAGAAATGTAAGTGAGATTATTCATCTCTCCAGAAAAATTTTTTTTTTCATTGAAATGTTAAATAAAATATATGACTTGGAAAAAATGATTATTGAATGAAAATTTTGATAAGTAAGGTTGAAGTTTTTTTCGTCAATGAATAGTTCTTATGAATTGCAAATTTAAGAAAGAACTACAAGTTTATGATGATCTGTTTAATGATTTCTTTTTTTTCTTTTGTATAATTCTCACCTGCTGGTGAATGTTTATTCATTGCATAACTTCAGAATATAGCAATTTAGGATCTAGCGTAAAAGGTTCCAAAATGATTGATATCTAATTTTTTAATTAGATGTTAAGTTTGGAGAAAAATTTATCATAAAATATCTCCATTATAATTCAAATGGATTCATTATGGAATCATTAAAGTCGCAGAATGAAAATTAATTTTCTTGCTCAAATTAAAAATATTTCACTACACTACATCAACAATATGATGAAAATGCAATTCTGGAAATTTATAGCCATTAGCCGAAAAAGATAATAACTTTTAAATTTTGTACACTAAAATTTGTTTCCTGATAATAAAAATACATTTAATCCATCAATATAATTCAAATTCCAAAAAATATACAGAAAATATCGCAAAAATACCTATAACTATGTGATTTTAGCATTGCATTAGTTATTGATCTGCTTTTGTAATGCAAGAAAAGCGAAATCAATTTTAATTAAAAAAGACAGTTAAAACGAAATACTGTCAACAAACAGTATATATCAAAAGTGATCACAATATTTCCATGGTCCAATTCTATCTCATTTTATCCCACACATTGACCATTGTAGCAAAATCCCATTGGACATTGATTGTTGATGCATTGTCCATCTGAAATTAGAAATTTACACAAATAATATTTTTATTATGAGGAAAAAAAAATGAAAAACTTGAGAATTATATATTTGAGGAGAAATTTGATTTTTAAAATATAACGTGATGCCAAATTGTTAACTGATATGAACTAAATTGACATAATTTAATATACGTCTATAATTTTTTCCCTAAATTTAACTGTTAAATGCTATTATTTCGATTTTAACTTATTAATTTCTTCAAAAAATGTATTTAATCTGTATGTTTAATAAGTTTTCGAGTTTTTTTTATCATTTCAAATAAATATAATAAGATAATGAATTAATTTCATGATAAATACAACTGAAACACTTGCAATAATTGGTTATCGCTACACATTGTGAATTATAGCAGCCATATCCGGTTGGACATTGACCATTTACACATGGACCAATAGCTGGAAAGTTTTGTTAAATTTTGCACTTCTCATCAAAAAAAAAAATTAACACTTTATCATAAATTAAGAAAAAAAATTTAGCATTTTTCAATCGATAAAAAACATTAACTTACATCGATAGGTAGTAGGAGTAATAATCGATGGATAGAAATCAGGATAAAAATATGGGTATGGTTGTAGATTATATGGATAATAGCAAAAGATGCATTGCCACTGAGTGACTGGAAATTTAATTTAAATTTGAAAATTTATTATAAAAATTTGTGTCAAATAAATATCTTGAATAATTTGAAAAGGGTAAGAACGATTAAATTTCCACATTCTATTAATTTAAAAATTGAAACTAAAAAAAAAAATTTTATTGTTGTAATAAAAATGCAACAAAAAAAAAAAGTATAAAAGAAAAAAAATAATGAAAGAAGAATTTTAAACATTTTTACTGTACACTTTTTTTTTCCTCTTTAGACGAGAAAAAAAAAGATACCTACCTGTACATGGTAATAGTATAGCAAGAATTGTTATTGTGAAAAAAACGAACATTTTTCCGAATTTTTTCTGTAGACCAATCTTCACATATAAACTATCATCCTCTCTTTTATATCATAAGCAAATCTTGAAATCATTGTTTGACTATGTATTTATTTGCTAATATACTATGTAGGCATCGTCAGATAGTGCTTATAGTTAAACAAAGCAAAAATTTTGTATTTTGATAGTTTCTAGCCATTCGTAATACTATCTTATGATTTTATCCTCTCATTTACCACTACAAACCATACGTTTTTGATCTGAAACACGAATAAAATATGAACAAATTAAACAAATTATATTTAATTTTTAGAAAGTATCAATATGATGAATGTTAAGTGCATTTATTAAACTTAAAATACGATGTCAGTAATGATTCTTAATGTCAACGATATATA